TCTATTAAAAATAAATAAAATGAGTATATTTTAAAAATAATCTCACAATGTATTTGTAAAACTAAAATTTTAGGAAAACGTTCTTCCAAAAAAAAAAAAAAAGGGAAAATATACTCAATCCTCGTTTGGCCATAAAGAAAAATGTAGGGGAGGCAGTCTAAATCCAAGTCCCTCTGCCACGTGGATCCCCATTTATTGTTCCACTCACAAAATCACGGCAAGCTTTATTCTATGATGTAGTCAGTTTTTTCTTTACAAATTTAACATTTAACACAATTTTAATTATTATTATTACTCGCAGGTTATAATTTTCACTTCTTCTCAACATTACTCTTGCTCTGTTTTCTTCGATTAAAAAATAATGGTTTTAATGAAATTGGACCTTCTTAATTTGCAGGTTGACATTCCTCTCTTGGATGTCTTGAGCCTGAACTCCATTTGTGCACGGCAAATATGGCACAGCCAAGTTACATTAATGTCCTCATTTGTTCAAAAGTTGAGGATATTGACTCTCCACGACTGTCATAATCTGAAATATCTCTTCACATCATCGATGGTTAAAAGTTTTGAGCAACTTGAAGTACTCAAAATTTATGGTTGTAAGGAGATGCAAGTGGTAATACTGATAGAAGAATTGGTAGAAAAAGAAAAGACAAGCCAGACAATGTTTCCCAAACTAGACAGATTAGAGCTCTGTTACCTTCCACAACTCGTAAGATTTTGCTCCAATTGCAATTCTTTTGGAGAAGTATATGAAGCTCAAGGACTCAGTGGTAGTGGATCACAAGTAGTTGCAGCCGCACAATCAAAGTTGGTGGAAACAGAAGTCACTCGGCTTGTATTTCCTCGAGTAACATTCCTGGCACTTAGTCGTCTATCCAATTTCAAGGGTTTCTTCCCTAAAATCCACATCACAAAATGGCCATTGTTGAAAAGAATGCTTCTGGAACAATGTGCCAAGGTGAAGACATTTGCTTCAGAATTTCCAAGCATTCAAATAACATTTGGAGACAACCAACTTGAAAGGCAAACTCAAGATCCTATGTTTTGGATTGGCAAGGTACGATCACCAAATGGGAAAAAATAATTGCATGTAGCTTATACGAATCATTTTTTCCTTAAATTCAAGAAGGAAAAAGTAGGAAAACTAAATCAAAATAAAATCAATCAAAGCTTACCTTCTTCTCTTTTGATCTTTTCTAAATTTTGCTTTATTTCTATTTTATCTAAAAGTGGCTTTTCTCTCTTTTTTTTTATTTGCTATGGAAATCTTTGGGAACTAAAATTTTTCATATGAAAAATTGAGTCGCCTGATATTATTTAGTTTGAATACATATTTGTTGGGTTTGGTATATTGCAATGCAATGTGGTTTCCTACTATTTAATTTAGCATTTGAACACTTTAACGTAATGTGATATCTTCCTATTAATTTTATGAAACCAATCAAATTATAATATTTGTAAAAGACTTTGATTAGTTCTTTTTTTTTTTTTTCTCTAATGGAAGGTTCTTGTAAATGTGTATTGCTATTAGGTAAATGTTGGCTTGGGTTGAAGTTTTGACAAGTGATATGTAACTACCTTTTCTTGAAGTATAGAAATTTTTTTTTTTTACTTGTTTAGAGCTCAGGCTAATCAATTTGGCAGATGTTTCAAAAAATAGCGCAAATGTAGCTTGTTAGTAAGCATAGGTTAGTTAACTCACATATAAATAGGTCTCAATATAATCAAGACATAATATAAATAGAATATAGATAGGTGTGAAACATTTTTAGACATGAAAGTATCTCATATCAATATGACATATCACAGTGCCACTTTCAATAACATGTTTAATCACATGCCAGAGGTAGTCATAACATACCCCCAACTGCACAATGGTCCAAAAACACACACTCATGAGATTTCAAAAATCTCTGACATAGGACAGATGGCATGCTTTTGGGTTATGCAGCTTAATCGCAAAACACGTTATACAAAGGATTTGCATTGTATACAATACCCTTTTCCTATTTTGTTTTTTTTTTTATTCAATTTATAACACATTGTATTTTTCAATTTGTCAGGATTCATTCTCCTGTCTAGAAGAACTAAAATTCCAACAGAATGACAACATGAAGGAGATATGGCGTGGTCAATATCCAGGGGCCTATTTTCCCAAACTAAAAGATTTTAAACTCCTCCAATTCCAAAAATGCTCAGCTCTTCTTCGGTCTTTTAATTTCTTCTTCCAGACACTACCCAGTCTTGAGAAGCTGAATGTGAGTGAAGCCTCCTTTCATGAAATATTCCAATGTGTAAGACTTCGTAGTGAGGGAAGAACTACAGATGCGCCCCCTCGGTTAAGAGAATTAAAATTATCGAAACTTAATGGGTTAATGCATCTTTGGAAGGAAGAATCTGACCTCAAATTGATTTTCTACA